AGAATTAGAACCCAACGCAGAAGCTTCCTGACGAGGCATAATGCTAAAAGCAATTTGTCACACACACAGTAGGAAACTCTACTATTGTTCTGCACTCCTTTGCTCTTCCATTTAACCAGGGAACGGACTCACCAACTCTGATGTTCAGTACTCCTTTGCTTACATTTAACCAAGGAACGGACTCCCACAGAGACCTCTCTCCATTTGAAATGAGCATTAGCGATTTGAGGGGAAAATGGATACGAGGGTTTTGGAGAATGTTCAAAAGCAATTTGAAAAGAAAAGGTTCGAAATTGTTTCTTTTGTATTTTGGCTCCCTTTGTCCAAGTTTTTGTGTTTTTGCTTTTTATGTTGAAAAACATGTAAAATATTAATGCTTTTCAACCTTAAAACCAAAAGCAGCAGCTTAGAGAAACGGATTCTTAATCATTTAGGTCACCAGTTATTGTTTTGTTGGATTCTTTAGTAACACTTTCTTCAAGAAAGCATATGTGTTCAGGTTTAACTTCTTCTAAAGATTTTTCTGTCATTTCATAAAATAATGTACTGGTATGAGAGAAGAGAGTGCTTAACTACGGGTGGAGTGCCAATATCAACTCCCGGATAGTTGTTTGGTAGGAGCCATATAATTGGCCAATATTTCAATACACACACACACACACACAGACCTCCGTATACCACCTCCTGTCTAAAGAATTATTATGCCGGGCTAGGGCTGGGTACATGGTAGAAGGAGAGATAGATTTACAGCTCGTACCCTGTGATAATTTTTGGCTGTGTGCTAGTGTACTTATAATTATTTTTTAAATAATTTTTTATATTAAAATATATGATAATAATTTATTTTATTTTTTTAAAATTATTTTTTATTTTAATTTATTAAAAAAATTAAAAAACTAAAAATATATTAGTTTAAAATTAATAAAAAATAAAAAAATTTAATTTTTTTAAAAATATTTTTCAAATACAAAAATAAACAAGTGAGTAATTAAAAAAAAAAATTAGATGATATGCTACCAAGTTCAAGTAGAAACACAACTAAGGTTTTGTTTTTAGTAGATGATTGGAGTAATAAAAGTGATTGTTTTATAAAATGTATTTTTATTTAAAAATATATTAAAATAATATTTTTTTTAATTTTATTTTAATATTAACATATTAAAAAAATTAAAAAAATAATTTGAAAAAAATTAAAAAAAAATTCAAAATACTTTCAAAATGTAAAAATAGAAGGGATTTATTATTGTGCTTTCAATGTGTAGTTTAGAATGGTGTTACTTCTTCTACTAAATCCCAATAAATTACTTGCATTGTCCTTGGTGTTGAAAATTTTGACCAAATCCAAATCTCAACTTTTTTTTTTTTTTGTTTTTGACATGGCCAGCCCTCTAAGTTATAACCAATGGACTCGACTCCACCATAAAATTTCTTCTTGAACAACACTAGGATCTATGGCATTGACGCCTTGTCTTGTTCGAATTATTGCTCAAACTTCTATGAGCAACTACTTCACAACATAATCAAGCGACTAACATCAATTAGGTGACCATTGTCTACAGTAGCTCTACTCAAGATTTTTTTTCACTCCTTGGCAGGCTTCATATATATATATATATATATATATATATATATATATATATATATATGTGCAGAAGAACCAACTTATGACCCTATCGATAATTGCACTTAATTATTGTTTATTTGGTTGTGACCCTTTTTATTGGAATTGCTTTAACGTAATATTTTGCATGGTCGTGCTACACATGGCCAGCTTTTTTAAAATCTGCAAAATCAGCTCTTTCCTAGTTGCAAGATTGGCTTACTCAAGCATGCAATCTTTTATGAGAATTTGGCGTGATTCTCGTTTAAATAAACAACCCTAGCTAATAACTTTGAAAAATAAAAGATAAAAAGAAATAATGGAGTGATATGGTAGCAAATCCGACTTGGAAAATTTTTGAAATTATAGTAATAATTATTTTTTAAAATATTTTTTATTTAAAAATATATTAAAATTAAAAATATATTTTTTTATATTTTAAAATTTATTTTGACATCACATTAAAACATTAAAAAAATATAAAAATCTTAAAAAAAATCAAAAAGTTTTAAAAGTATATTTTAAATACCAAAACAAGCACTGCTTTATTAATTTTTACTTGTTTATTAGAGGACAAAGACTACACCTTGAAACTACACAAACTTAGTCTTAAACCACTCGACGCCAAAATTCTGGCCCTTTCAATTGTAGGAAAATTAAGGCAATTAATTAAATATGTAGAATACTTAAAATATAGCTGCATTCATCACTAGACATCTTCTCCGGTTTTAGAAACTGTAACTTTGGCTCATTATGTTTTTGCGTGGACAAGAGCAGCCGGCCGAATATTGACTCCACAATTCTGGCACTTCCAATCGACCAAAAAAAGAAAAAGAAAAAAAAAGACTATGACCATTACGAAATAAAAAAGAGTCATAAAACTATGAATCAATATATCCTCTCCTAATTGTATAAAATAAATTAGATAAGTTTCAGTTTCAAAAATTAATTAATTAATCTCTTAATTAGGTTGACCATTCTAATTTAATTCTACTTTTTTTTAAAAAACTATTTTTTTCTCATCAACTTTTCTATATTATCTACTTCTTTTCCCCCTTTTCTATTTCTGAAAATAAAAAAAACGTACCAAATAAATTATAAATTATAAAGTAATATAAAATGAGAAAAAAAAGGGATTAAATTACAAATAGCTTTTAATTTGTCTTCGGCAAACTATAGAAATTAATCTATAATATTCTTATATTTTAGCCATTTAGTAAGTCAAGATTACCGAAAACGGGATCCAACTAGCTAGTCCACGTGGGATGAGATCTCGAATCCTCTTCAACCAAATGATAGAGATACGTCTCTTATGCATCGTTCTATATATATATTAATTACTACAAAAAATCCCCCATTGAATATGTAATTCTTGTTTCAATATATATCTATGTATTGAACCGGGGATTATTAGCATAATTACTACAAAAAATCCCCCGTTGAATATGTAATTCTTGCTTCAATATATATCTATGTATTGAACGAGAATTAAAATTTCTTGTTCACTATGTAATTCTTGTTAAAGAATTATTTTAATTCAATAATTTAAATTATTAAATAAAATTTTAGAATATATATATAAAAGTTTAGAATATATAATGCGAGTATGTACTCCATGAACCGAGAAATTAAGGGAAATATTGTACACAGAAACAGACACATATTTTGTGGAACGCACATGGAATCAAATCTATTAAACATTTATTAAAGCCCCTAAGGTCCAGACTGTACAATATCTCTAGAAAAGAACAAAGCCAGAGATTGGGGTTCTTGTGCATTTATATAATATAAAGTTTTTATATATCATATACTATATATAAGGAATCAAGATTTTAGGTTTTCTTGATGGCTTTTTTCTTCAATCAAATCAGAAGGAAAAATTTATTTTTTGTTAATTCTAAAAACATGCCTGGTTTTTTTTTTTTTAAAAAGAAAAATATTATTAATTGTTTTTTTTTTAATTTTAGGGGTGGGAGTGGGGTTGGGTACTGGAATATGAAACGAGAGGAAAATCCTTTTTAGGTGCAAAAGGATCTTAATTTCTGGCTAGTTCAAGACTGGCGCACCCAACCCCCACAAGCACCCAGATTGATAAATATTGCCGTCTATTCCAGTAGAACGACGAAGCATATATGTATGCTTCTGCTGGGCCAATTATATCTCTTTTTTTAAAAAAAATTTTTAAATTGGAGTCCTTTCTTATATATATATAAAACCTTCAAAAGAAATCAGCGCTTTATTTTAGATGGTAATTGAATTGAAGTTTCAAATGTTAAGGTTTTTTTTTTTTTTTTGTATAAAACGAAGTTTGAAACGACCGCACTGGTCTCAATGGTTGAAAATAAGGGCAAAAACCATAAGGCCAGACAGTTGTCAGCATGCCATAGGTCACAATCTAACAACCAGTATTGACTATTGTCGCGTCATGCTAGTTAGCGGGACGAATCTTTGAAACTTCTGAATAGTTTGGTCAATTACGTGTTTTGAAAACATTTTTTTAGGCAGTTTATTCCGTGGGATCATATGGTATCATGTACTTGTGGGCCAACTGAGAGGAGGGTTTTTTTTTTTTTTTTTAGTATTCTTAAATTTTATTCTCAAAATAGATTTTTTTTTCCATGATTATTAAAATAGGGTGCCTTGCCATGTTGGAAAGCACGATATATATTCATGTCATTATCTTTTTTATGTGATTAATATTATTATGAAAACTAGTTTTTATTTTAATATTTCTTATTTTTTAATCTTTCATCTCTTAAATGTATCCACTTGACGTAGAGAAGGTGGTATTTTTAAATTTTTTATTTATTTATTTTTAAATCTCAATTAACACGCACATGAGTTCATCTAAAAACTTTTAAAATTAAAAAAAATGTTTTAATCTTTGGGACGATGGGAGATCCCGAATAAAATATTCCCTTCTCTCCATGCGTATGCACGTTTACAGAATTATTTTGCATTCAATTATAAATGATAAACTCTACAATGAGATGCACTTAGAATTTCGTCCGCAACTGCAAATTTAAATGGAATGAAAATGTCAAACAAGAAAAGTTTCAAAATCAAATATGCAAATAAGAGATGAAAGACATGTTCAGTGAGAAATTAAGAGATCCAAAGATATTGAGAGCATGCATGGTGCTTTGTTTTTCTTCCAAGAACTTAAAAAGTTAAATTCTGACATGACATACTACACGGAACTATGTCCTATTTAAGAAATTAAGTTTAAAAACACACTATTTAGAAAAAAAAAACTCTGACTTGGGAAGAAAGTTCCAAACAAAAGAGCAAAAGCCTTAAACCCCAACACCTTATTGCATCCGGCGCCTCTACAGTCTATATAACCCTCCACCGTATTGTTATCCTTACCAACAACAATCTCTCTCTCTCTCTCTCTCTCTTTCTCTCTCTCCATCTCTCTTTCCCTCTCACATACAGTTTGTCTACTGTGATAAATCATGCCTGCTCAAGTGATGCAAGAGAAAACCCTTCAAAGCATTCATGTCTTGGGAAGGGAAAAGTCGACAGAAAACAGCGCTCGCTCTCCGGGAAGGTATTTGCCCCTTTACCTTAAGTTCTTAATTTGTGTTTCCATATGTATGTTCTCTAGCTTTTCTTTATACAAGCTAGTAACCGTAAGGAAGGGAATTAATTAGTACCTAGCTAGGTTGAATGTTTAAAACATCAAAGGTCTTTGTTCAAATTGTTCGGTGCTTTTGTGTAGATTGGAGGGAAGAGTTGCAATAGTCACAGGCGGTGCACGAGGAATTGGAGAGGCCACAGTAAGACTTTTTGCAAGACAAGGTGCCAAAGTAGTCATTGCTGATGTTGAGGATGCTCTTGGAACTTCGCTCGTAAACTCATTAGCCCCTTCAGTTTCCTTTGTTCATTGTGATGTTGGCTTAGAAAAAGACATTGAGAACCTGATAAACTCCACGATTTCTCAATATGGTAAGTTAGATATTCTTTTCAACAATGCTGGGGTGCTTGGAAATCAATCAAAGAACAAGAGCATTGTTGATTTTGATGTAGACGAATTTGACCGTGTCATGCATGTGAATGTTAGAGGAATGGCACTAGGAATTAAGCACGCAGCACGAGTGATGATTCCTAGAGGAGGTGGGTGTATTATTTCCACAGCTAGTGTGGCTGGTGTCATGGGAGGGCTTGGTCCTCATGCTTACACAGCTTCAAAGCATGCCATTGTTGGACTCACAAAAAACACAGCTTGTGAGCTTGGCCGGTATGGAATTCGAGTTAATTGCATTTCTCCATTTGGGGTGGCCACATCTATGCTTGTTAATGCCTGGAGAAGTTGTGGCGAAGAGGAAGATTCCTTGAATTTTGGATTGCCTAGTGAAAAGGAAGTGGAGAAGATGGAGGACTTTGTTAGAGGGCTGGCTAACCTAAAAGGTCCAACTCTAAGGGCTAGAGATATAGCTGAAGCTGCTCTTTATCTAGCTAGCGATGAATCAAAGTATGTCAGTGGTCATAATCTTGTTGTGGATGGTGGAATCACAACTTCAACAAATTGTGTTGGGTTGTAATACTTAGAGAATGTATCTCTCTCTCTATCTCTCCCTTTTTACTTCTTTTTTTCCTCCACTTGTAGCTCAGTTGTTGACAAAGCCTTGTGTGAGGATTCCATTCAATCAATTAAATTAGTTTTCAGACTTTTCGCTACCTGGAAGAATTGAACTCAAACCGATTTCTAGGCAATTGTTTACCGAAAGAAATCTATACAAATTCCAAAGCTCTGTGTAATGCTGGTTAGCCAAAGTATTTAATCTCCCTTAATTCTTTTCTTCTAGCTTAAAATGTGCGATTTCTAGTTCCAAACTACAAGGTTTTTTTTAAGTAGCACAATAGAAGGTTTCTTTTTATAAAAAAAAAAAAGAAGAAGAAGAAGAAGAAGAAATAACACAATTAGAATTTATTTGAAGAAATAGCATAATCTTAAAAATTAAAGTTGAAATCTGCGACTCTAAAGTATCATGTCTCATCCACGGCTTTGTGTTAATTGCAATTTATTTAAAAAAAAAATATTGCTAAAGCAATTTCTCTAACTTCTCAACATTCTATTAAAAAAACCAAGCAACTCAACAAATAAGATCAATTCAACTATATAGGATTTGAATTAAAAAGAAATGAAAAGCAAGAATTAAGTTGATTATCCAAATAATTTTTTATTCATTTATAATTGAATTGATATTATTTTATTAATTAAGTTTGTTGAGTTGGTTGTTTTTTATATAGAGATTTGAGAGGCTAGAGAAATTTTCTCAACCACATTTCTTTAAAATAAATCTAAAGTCATAGATGAGACATATGACTTTAGAGTTGTATATATCAATTGCAACTATTTAAACTATGTTATTTTTTTAAATAAATTTTTAATTATGTTATTTTTAAAATTTTCTTTACTAGAGGGATCCTTTAAAAAAAAAACTTGCATTATTATAATGGAACAATTAATCAAATCAATCACTTAAATCATTGTAAATATCATCAAATCACATTTACTGAATTAATTAATCGATCTTAGATATTAAAAGGTTTTTTTTTTTTTCTGAATACTAAGACAATTTCAAGAAAGTTAATAGGAAGTAACATAATTTTATATATAAAGTTTTGGGGAAATGATATAGTCTATAAAGAATCACGATTCAAAACTGTTATTTCTAATTGCAGTTCTTTAACAACCGTGATTTAGAATAGCGATTTCATATATGTTATAAAACATATAAATTATATTCTTTAGATTAAGAATATTTTTCATGAAAACCTTACTTAATAAGTTTCATTGCTTATTTATTAACATATGGTGTGATGGAAGATATTTTGAATATAATCTAACTCATGTTTTGTCATTTTATAAGTATGTTGTGAGGGTAGATATTTTGAATATAATCTAACTCATATTTTGTCATTTTATTATAGTGAGTTTGAAAGACAAAGTCAAATTAGGTATGTTGGTAAATTATAAAAAAATAATTATTATTTGTGTTGTTGTTGGTAAATAATGAGAATTAATTGTTTGTATTCATATTAAATTTTTTGGATATTAGTAAATGTTAGGAAATAATTTATGGGTTGATATTAGTAAATGATAAGAATTAAATACTTGTGTTGATGTTTACTTTTTTAGATATTGATAAATTTTAGGAAATTATTGCATAGGTTGATGTTGAAATTTTTTATATTTATAAATATTGAAAAATAACTTTTCATAGGTTGATGTTGATAAATGATGAGATATAATTATATTATTGATGTTTTAACAGGTTGTGTGAAATTCTTATTCAAAAAATGATATGATAGCTGCTCCTTTTATATGCACATCGATCATGGATTTATGGATATAAGTTGTTTTTCTCATATTATTTTAGCTTATTAAGATGCATTACCTGAACTGTGTAATGTGACAATTTGACTTTAAGTAACGCATCCCGTTTGACATAGATACGAGCTATCAGTTGCACTTCATTAGTTATTTAGGTAGACACGTTAATTATAATTGAATGATCTACCAACTCCAGCATGTATCAATATGGGATACATGAATAATAGATGGTTAGCAGTTGTTTACAATAGCGGTAGTTAGCGGTCAACACCCATAATTGTCATTAGTGATTATTAATGAAACCGTGTGTTCCAATAGCAATTATGTCAATAATGTGTTATTTTACAAATATTTTTCTCTCATGTGCTATTTCTTAAAAACTTTTATCAAACCATGCTATTGTGATAAAGAACCAAATTAAAAAGAGTTATTTGGTCCAAACAACTAGCTGTTTAATGAGAGATGTGATGTATTGCATGGTAAAATAACAACCCTTATAGATTTTGGGTATTTTTTTTTCTTATTTGCATGTCTTTTAAAAAAATTATCAAAATAACACAATTTTTTTATGAAATAAAATAGATGGTACATGTCAAGATTAGAAATAACAACATTTAAAGTGATTACTAATAGGAAAGTTGACATTTCAAAAACATATTAAATGGATTGCATAAATTATGATAAAGAGAGATGAAAGAGGAAAGAGAGAGAAAAATAAGACTTGAGATGAACATTAAAGCTCTAATTACAAACATTATTAAAAAGATGTTGATGAGATAACTTTAACAACATCAAGGAAAGCCAACAATGGTGACCGAATTGGGCTACACTTATTATCCAAAGATAGTAGATGACTTTTTTTTTTAATCTTTGACAATAAGTATGATCTACTCTAGTCATTATTGGTGCTTTTCTTGGAATTGTTGGATTCATATTATCAAAAGCTTTTCGATGGTATTGATATGTTATAATTGAAGCTTTGGTCTATCTTTAAAGGGTTTTTTTTTTCATTTCCTTTTCTCTCTCATCGCTCTTTAAAAATTACAATAAGAAAAGAGGAGATAAAAAAAAATAAAGAGAATCTAGAAGCATAATGAAGCTTTGATTACAATGCTACCGGTATCATTAAAAAAACTTCAACAAGAAAAATCTAATAATACCTAACATGGATTGGAGAGGGTCACACTTGTTATCAAAGGCAAGTGAGCCACCCATCACGTTTGGATATCAAGTGTGCTCCACTACGGTCATCATTAGTGTCCTCCTTTGATATCATTGAATTTGTCTCCTTAAGATCTTTTCGTGATATTGGCGAACTTGTATTTAGAACTTTGGTGTATCTTCGAGGCTTCTATATTTTTCTTCTTTTTCCATTTTCTCTCTTCTCATCATAATTTATGCCTACTAATTTCATAACTTCTTTTACATTCTATATATTTGAATTGCGACAATTTTGAATATGGTATTTTTCAATTGTAACATGTGTAAACTATATTATTTCAGTAAAAAAATTTTAAATTGTATTATTTTGTCAATTTTCTTAAATAATCATAATTTTAAGATAATATTTACAAATTTACCATAACTAATTAAGTCCATTTTCCACCTTGCTCTTTCTTCTAAGGTGTTTGATAGAGATAAAATACAAGAGGGTTGTTTTAACTAATAAAGAACAACTATCTTGCAAAAAAAAACCTATGGCTTCATGTAAGTCCTACATAAGGTAAGAATTATGTTGACAGATTGGATACAGTTTGCAACTAGAATCCACATAAATAGGTTAATCAGTTGGTGAGGATAATGTGTGTTAATATTTGGTAGGTTGTTGCTATGTTGAATTTTAAGTTTTAACTAATTAACCAACCACTAGCATGATTTTTTTTTGTGGTATTATTTCTACTCACAAAATTATTATTTCTTATAAGAAGAACACTAATTAATAATTTTACAGTAGGAAAATAAAATGTTTTTTTGGAATAACTAAAATAAAATCTGAATGTAGTGTTTTTAGAGGAAAAAACCAAATATCAATTAAATTAGAGTTGTTTGATTGACCCATGAATATTTGATTAGGTGAATTGAAGACAGGGTGTTGGAAGGCAAGGTATCAGGACAAAGAATAAAGATAGACCACAACCTTTATATCTGTAACTTTTAAGAAGCTTCATAGCTAATTTATTATATTTGTTTGATTGACCCAGTCATTATCATTTTCTCTTTCAATTACACAAATCAAAATCACATAATAATAATTACAGATATTTTTTTCTTAATAATAGATTAGGAAGGTCTGAAACTTAACTTGATAGCATAGCTTGGAAACGTGTGATTTTAACTGTGTTTTTATTAATTTTAATTTTTTTTATTAAAAATTATTATTTTATATATTTTAAAAATGTTTTGATATATTAATTTTAAAAATAATTTTTAAAAATAAAAAAATATCCTGGAGCTTGCATTTGCAATACGCAGCAAGCTTTTCCAAACCGTATCATCGTATCAAGATTTTTATTATTATTATTAAAACTATGACAAAATCTTTATTTATGATTAAAAAAAGACATAATTTCATTAAAAAATAAATGCAATTAAAAGTCAAGCGGGCTGACAGGAAAAAACAACTCCAAACAGTCAACTAAATGCAATTAAAAGTCAAGCGGGCTGACAGGAAAAAACAACTCCAAACAGTCAACTAAATGCAATTAAAAGTCAAGCGGGCTGACAGGAAAAAACAACTCCAAACAGTCAACTGAGTTAAGAGAGTTAAAATTTTATTTTCTCCTTATTAAAGTTTTTTTTTTCCTTTTATATGGAAGAGAAATATAGTCATCCATGCTTGCACGTCCCTCCTCCTCTATATTCATGCCAAGGAACCTATGTTTTAAGCCATTAATTGTATGCTTAAGGGCTCAAGTGTATGGTTGAATTTGCGGTTTAACTTGTTTTTTAATATATTTTTCAAATTATTTTTTATTTAAATCAATATTTTTAAATGTTTTTAATAATTTTAATGTACTAAAATAATAAATAATACATCTTCCAACAAGACAACATTAAGAGCCAAAGCAGCGATGGCCCAAATACACGAACTCTTCCCCTTCTCATCCAGGTTCAAGGTGTTGAATCCTTGTTTGTCTTCTCCTCTGAAACCTGGATAATTAACAAAAAAAAATATATAAAACCAAATTTCGAACACTTACCTACAGCTATAGCTCGTCTACAAAAGAGTTGAAATGAAAATTGTTGAGAAACTTTAAAAGGCATCCAATTAATGTTTTGATAGGAGAAGAAATCCTAAATCATCTAGCAATTATAGGGTAAAAGAATT